AAAAGTCTTGCTAATACAGTATTTTACTGGCCAGTGAAAATAATGTGATTAAACTAAGAGTAGAAAACAGTAACACCAAAAATGATCAAATGAATTCTGATACTTGGACCTAAATGCTAACTAACTGTCAAATATTGTCACCTGTGCAAGTATTAAAAAGTAAAAGAATGGATGCTAAAACTAAAAATATGTTCTTTATTGTACACAGGCCAAAACAAATAAGCAAAAAACACCTGAAAATCAATTCTAAAAAAAATAAGTAAATTTAATTTGTTTTTTCTTTAGTTTTTTAAATTTGTTTTTTATTTCTTTTTCTCTTTTTAGCAATACTGTGGTTTGAACACAAGGCAATGAAATTGCTAAGCAGGAACTCTACCACCTGATCCCCACCACTAGCCCCTAATTAATTTTTAAATAGTTTTCCTTTCTCTAAATATCCAAGAGCTTAATTTTAGATACCAATTTGGCACCCATATATTAAAGTATACATTCTCATATATATAATTTACTTGATTTCATGAAGTATTTCCAGAAGTAACATTTTGTTTTCTGCATCCTGAATTTTATTTCCAGTGAAGAGTTGAAAATCTGGGCGTTCAAAGAATGGTAACACTTTGGATAAGGCCCTTAATTCTATTAAGTAGAGAAAATATAAGTTTTTAAGCCTTCTTGGGCCTTCTCCTTCTGTCAAAATTCCATCAAACCGCTGCTGGAATTCTGTAATGTTGTGACCCCATTTCTTCTCCAACCAGGTTTCTAGGAAGAAAGAAGAAATAAATACTAAATTTTAAAATTAAGTAATTTCATTTTTATTACACTAGGTTATTTATACTCATAGAAATTTCATTTTGTACCTTAAAATAACCAAGAAAAATTTTCATGATTAGTCATTAAGAATTCTATTTTAGCCAGGTGCTGGTGGCTCATTCCAAATGGCAGAACATTCGCCTTGAGCAAAAAGCAGCTCAGGGACAACATGCCCAGAGTTCAAACCTCAGAACCAAAATTTAAAAAAAAAATCCATTTTACCAGTGCTGGAAGCTCACAACTGTAATGTTAGCTACTCGGGAGGCTTCCAGTTTGAGGCCCGCCTGGGCAGAAATGTCCATGAGGGTCTCATCTCCAATTACAATTTAAAAAAAAAAAAAAAAACTGTATATAGAGATGTAGTTGAAGTCATAGAGTGCTGCCAGCCTTGAATGAAAAATCCAAGCAAGAGTCAAGGCCCTGGGTTCAAGCCCCAGTAATGGTGCATGCTGAGTACCAATGGTTCATGCCTAAAGTCCTAGCTACTTAGGAGTCAGAAACCAGGAGGATGATCAAAGCCTACCATGGCAGAAAGGTCTGTGAGACTCCATCTTCAATTAACCAGCAAAACACCATGTTGGGGGCATGGCTCACAAAGTGGAGCACCAGCCACAAGTGACAAAGAAAAAAGAAAAAAGAAAGTCAAAGAAAATCTCTATTAGGATTTTAAAACTGTTGCTAATCAAAAAGCAAATTTCTGAATGCAAACACACCCAAGATCAAAATAGATCTTTTTTTTTTTTTTTTGTCGGTCGTGGGGCTTGAACTCTGGGCCTGGGCGCTGTCCCTCAGCTCTTCAGCTCAAGGCGAGCGCTCTACCACTTGAGCTACAGCGCCACTTCTGGTTTTCTGTGGTTTATTGGAGATAGGAGTCTCACGGTCTCTCCTGCCCGGGCTGGCTTTGAACCGCCATCAAAATAGATCATTTTAAAGAGAGTGATCATCTGAAATTATTGATGAGTTAGGGCACTAGGTCAAATCAAAGTTACTCTTTTGTTTCTACAAGGTAAAAATCCTTTAATTCCAGTAATGTATTATTGATAAAAGGAGAAAAAGAAAAGAAAAACAGTTCCAAAAGCATTCCTAAATCATAGAGAGCCGCAGGAAATGCTCACCCATTAAAGCTGGCAAACAAAAAGGCTCTGACACAATAATACCTAACAAGGGGCTGGGAAGGTGGCTCAGTGGTAGAGCGCTTGCCTTGCATGCATAAGGCCCTGAGTTCGATTCCTCAGCACCACATAAGCAAAAAGAAAAAAAGCCAGAAGTGGCGTTGTGGCTCAAGTGGTAAAGCGCTAGCCTTGAGCTGAAGAGCTGAGGGACAGCGCCCAGGCCCAGAGTTCAGGCCCCACAACCGACCAGACCCAAAAAAACAAAACAAAACAATAATACCTAACAAATAACCAAAATGGAGCTATTTTTAATTCTTACAACAAAGCAGAAGAATATTTTCAAAGTGTGTAATTTTTAGAGATTTCTTAAAGATCGTAAAGAGAGTTGACAATACACAGACCTACTGAATTATACTCAGATTTCCACATCCCTGGTTACTACCTAGCTTTTGACTGCCTAATATTCTCCCACGTCTGTCTTTCCCATTCAGGTAATACCAAGCAAATTCTGAAAATAAGCATGGGAAGGAAAAATCAATGAGACATACCTTGTAAGAGATATCTTGCACTCAAATGCACATTGATGCTTGCATGTAGGCCAGATATGAGTCTGTAGAATGCTCTTTTTTCTACACAAAGCCCTTAAAAAAAAATCAATGAGTTGGAAATAAAATTTGATAGGTGAATCTTATAATTAACGTTATGACTTTAAAAGTGAAAAATACGTAAATTACCTTCTAACCAGCTGTAAAAAGTGTTTTCTGAAATTAAAAAAAAAGAATAACTGTAACCTCTCTGTACATCACCTTTATAATAATAATTTTTTAAAAGAAAAATCACAAGATAGTAAAGAAATGCAAACATAACATTTTTCAATTTTTTTTTTTTTTGGTCAGTTGTGGGGCTTGAACTCTGGGCCTGGGCGCTGTCCCTCAGCTCTTCAGCTCAAGGCTAGCGCTCTACCACTTGAACCACAGCGCCACTTCCAGTTTTCTGAGTGGTTTATTGGAGATAAGAGTCTCACAGACTTTCTTGCCCAAGCTGGCTTTGAACCATGATTCTCAGATCTCAGCCTCCTGAGTAGCTAGGATTCCAGGCATGAGCCACCAATACCCAGCTTTTCAAATGTTTTAAGCATGATAAAACTCTCCAATGTTTTAAAGGCTGTTTAACCTAAAGGTCCAAAACATACTTGCCAATTTCTTCAAAGGAAGTAAATTCTTGTTGTAGATTCAGTTAAGTATAACTCTGTTAGTCAGACTTCAGGCTTAAGCATTGGCTGAGGTAACCCTAACCACATAATTTTTTGGATAAAGTATTTTACATGACATCAAAATATAGAATTTCAGCCAAGGATGTAGCTCAGTGATAGAGCAATGCCTAATATAATATAATCCTGGGTTCAATTCCCTTCACTACAAATAAAAAAAAACAGTTTCAAAGTTTCACAGTAAATCTATCAAAAATGGGAAAATAGAGGGATATAGCTACTCAGGAGGCTGAGATCTGAGGATCACAGTTCAAAGCTAGCCTGGACAGGAAAATTTATGAGACTTTTATTTTCAATTAACCACCAACAAGCTGGAGGTAGCAATGTGGCTCAAGTAGTAAAGTGTAAGCCTTGATCAAAAAAGCCAAGGAAGTGGTTAAGGCCCTGAGCTCAAAACCCAGTATTAACACACACACACACACACACACACACACACTCAAAGGAAAATATCATAGTTTTTTTTAAATTATAAAGTGGTACTGAAGGTATAATATTTGTAAACAGCTTGTAGTATTCATGCCATTCACTACTTCAAAGGGAATAATTTAGGAAAATGTTAAAATCAGATATAATTTATAGTTATAATCACAGATATTATACTTAGATCTAATAATTCTGCTTTTAAAAGTACTAAAGATCTGAGGATCACAGTTCAAAGCCAGTTCGGGCAGGAAAGTCCATGAGACTCTTATTTCCAATTAACTACCAACATAATCAGAAGAGGTGCTGTGGCTCAAGTGGTAGAGCACTAAAGCCTTGAGCAAAACAGCTCAGAGACAATGCTAAGGCCCTGAGTTCAAGCCACAGGACTGGCACGAATAAATCTACATATATTCTAAAGAAGGAACTAAATGAGACAAGGATTTGTAGAATGATTGTTATGCATCAATTTACCACCTCAATAAAAATGTACAATAATGCCTAGATTTATTTATATATATATATATATACATATATAACCAGTTACTATGGTAAAAATAATGTAAACTAGTAAATGACAAGAAAATAGAACATAATACATTGAAAATGCTTATTTGAAATATTCTTTAAAGTTATTATGATGTAAAAATTCATGTCGGGCACTGGTGGCTCATGCCTGTAAACCTAGCTACTCAAGAGGCAAGAGATCTGAGGACCGCAGTTCAAAGCCAGCCCAAGCAGGAAAGTCCGTGAGACTCTTATCTCCAATTAACCATCAGAAAACTGCAAGTGGCACTGTGGCTCAAGTGGTAAAGGACTAGCCTTGAGCTGAAGAGCTGAGGGACAGCACCCAGGCCCAGAGCTCAAGCCCCACAACTGACAAAAAAAATTCATGTACACAATTGCTGTAGAGGTGGTGAACATTATACTATCAGGTAAGAACATATTTATATACACATATATGTTGTATATATATTTATAGCAGTGTAAATAAGGACTACAGAATATGATCCCTATAGTGAGTTGAATTGTAACACCTACTTACGTCTTGAATCATTTTAGCCAGGTTGCTAGTGAGAGGTTTTGTTTTTGCTCTTGTTTTTGTTTTGGGTGGGGGATGCTTGTGATTGTCTGTATTGGGATTTGAAATCAGTGCCTCTTTCTCTTGCTCAGCTTTTTCAATCTCAGTGTTAATGCTCTATTACGTGATCCATGACTCCAGCTCTGGCTTTTGCTGGTTAATTGTAGATAAAAAATTTTTTAGGCTTGTCTACCTGTGCTGGCTTCCACCCTTGATCCTCAGATCTCAGTTTCCTGAATAGCTAGGATTGCAGGAATGAAGTACCAACCTCGTTGCTTTTTAATTATTTTTTCATCTCATTTTTGTTTTTATTTTTTATATACCATTCACCAATTTTTAAGTCATCCTTATACAGAGACCATGCTAACCTCTATATTGGCCCAATTTCAGAATATGTGCTTCCAAAGCAAGCACAGTAATTGGTTTCCTTATTTAAATTTTAGGATTTTCCCCCTCCGTTTCTCAGCAGCACTTGGGGAATGGGGGACCATATCTCTTGGGATCTAGCCTCTCAATGACATTTTCACTTAAGTTTTATAATCCTATAAAAGCTGTTCTCAATTTTACCTATGTTCTAATTAATCACCTAATTTGACAGCTGTCAAGAATAACCTTTGATATCTGACTAAAAGTAATATAGTACTTATAGAGGAGATTAATTCTCTATAGGCTAATAATCTCTTCTACAAGAGACAAGCCAGAGTCTTCAAATAGTATTGGAAAAGTCAAAGTAGCTTCCTCTAATGATCTAGGGCATAGGACAGAACTGGATAGAATAAAGCACTGTAACACAAAACTGAGAATTACAGGATAACCTCTACCAGTAACAAATCAAAGGCAGCTTTGGAACAGTAACCTTTCTGCTATACAATTTCCCTTCCAAAAACATCAGTTCTTAATCAACATTCTATTTAACTGCTACAGTTACCATGATATATAGTACAATAATAAAAAATAGCAATGGAAATGAGAATTTAGTATTCCATTATTTAGATAGAATTGGAAGATTAATTAATAAGAAAATAAGACTAGCCGGGCACCAGTGGTTCATGCCTGTAATCCTAGCTACCCAGGAGGCTGAGATCTGAGGATTGCAGTTCAAAACCAACCCAGGCAGGAAAGTCTGTGAGACTCTTATCTCCAATAAACCACTAGAAAACCGGAAGGGTGCTGGGGCTCAAGTGGTAGAGTGCTCCCCTTGAGCTGAAGAGCTGAGGGACAGCGCCAAGGCCCGAGTTCAAGCCCCACGACTCACAAAAAAAGAAGAAGGACGAAGATAAAAGAAAGAAGAAGGAAGAAGAACAAAGAAGGAGGAAGAGGAAGAAGAGGAGGAGGAGGAGGAAGAGAAGGAGGAGGAGGAGGAAGAGAAAGGGGAGGAGGAAAGGGGTACCTCACATTTTAGAAATTTCATCTAGAGGGACAAAGCTAAGCACTGACTTGGGTGTTTTGTTTCACATTGTTAAATACAGAGCTTTAAGAACAGCAAGCTTGGCTGGGAAGGGGGCTCAGTGGTAGAGTGCTTGCCTCCTATGCATGAGGCCCTGGATTTGATTCCTCAGCACACATAAACAGAAAAAGACGAAGCAGCGCTGTGGCTCAAGTGGTTAAGTGCTATTCTTAAACTGAAGAGCTGAGGGACATCGCCCAGGCTGAGTTCAAGCCCCACAACAGACAAAAAAGGAAAGAAAAAAGAAAATAAGAAAGAAAGAAAAAAAGAACAGCAAGCTACCAGACTCATGCCTGAAATCCTATTTATTCAGGAGGCTGAGATAGATCTGAAAGTCAAGAGTTCAAAGCCAGCCCAGGCAAAACAGTCTGTGAGACTCTTATCTCCAATTAATCACAAAAAATAAAAAACAGGAGTGGAGCTGTGGCTCAAGAGGTAGAGTGACAGCACCCAGGATCGGAGTTCAAGCTCCATGACAAAAAAGAAAAAAAAAAGACTAAAATAAAACTAAATTACTTTTTTTAAAAATGTAACTAGACTTGGCAATAACTACACCTAAGAGTCAGCATATGCCTTAGAAGCCAGCTCGGAATGAATACTGCAAACATGCCTAGGACCTTGCTATGTAATAAAAAAAAAACCTAACAGATCCTACACTTCAGCCAGTAAAGAGAAGAAAGCTTTCTCTGTGGAGTTGGGGAAGGTACTCAGCTTCCACAATCAATAGGTACAAGGCACCACTAAACTATCAGAGGCTGAGGCCGGCTGTCTCTAATGCCTAAACTCAGTCATTTTTCTTTAATCTGTGCCTTCACCTCCAGAATTTTAGATAAAGAAATAAAAATTAACTTCTTCTGAGTCTCAGAAAAGGTAGGAAGAAAAAAATCTAGTTGACATAATAAACATCTGAATATATAAATATATAATTATATTCCTATATATATATATAAAACATTTAATTAAGAAGTTGTACTTACCTTTACTTTTGCCTGAAAAACAAAACAAAATGTTTATTATAATTTGTTATGTAATGCTCCCCTTTCATAAAAATGAAACTTTAATAATCACGAGTTTCAGTTCATCAGGTAATCTATAGAAGTAAAAAGGGAAGGGGAGAGACAACTCCACCTCCCAGTGATATGCACTGCATCAGATTTGACTCAATGATGTTATCTCCAGAAGCATGTATGAGCAGTTATTTCAATTCATGTAAGATTTAATATGGGCTAACAGGAGGGAAAAAGAGAACTCATCATCTGAGAATACTCTTAAATATCTTAGGGACTTGTGTTTGCTTGGCTGGCAGAGCCTCTTTCCACATTTATTACCTAAAAGCTATATCATAATTCATGTTAGAGGTTTATGTTATTGCTTTGAAACCTCCAGACTCACACTGTAAGATTTAAACTTAGGAATAATTTCAAAGACTATAAAATTAGAATTATATATATGTGTATATATATATATATATATATATATATATACACATATATATAAATAAAATGAAGCAGTTTGTATGCCGCTGCTTATTTGCTATTTGAATAGTATGTTCCTTTTTCCATTTTTCTCCAAGGTCATTAGCATTTGATTATAAAATATATATGCATTGCAAATGCTTTTTTAAAAAGATGAACAGAATAAAGTTATCCATAACTCCCTCTGCTCCTAGATAGACACTATTTAGGTTTTGGTAAAAAAATCCTTTTCCCTTGTATAAAAAATATATATATACTAGCCGGATGCTGGTGGCTCATACCTTTAATCCTAGCTACTCAGGAGGCTGAGATCTGAGGATCAAGGTTCAAAGCCAGCCCAGGCAGAAAAGTTCATGAGACTCTTATCTCCAATAAACCACCAGAAAACCAGAACAGGTGCTTCTGCTCAAGTGGTAGAGCACTCGCCTTAAGCCGAAGAGCTGAGAGACAGTGCCCAGGCCTAGAGTTCAAGCCCTACAACGGACAAAAAAAAAAAAAATATATGTGTGTGTGTGTGTGTGTGTGTGTGTGTGTGTGTGTGTTGTGTGTGTCTATGTATATACATATGTCTATGTATATACATATAAATATGTATATTGTATTGATACCTGATACATTTCCTCAGTACACTGTTGATCACTGTTTATTTAAGTGAATTCACAGCAGTATTTTGTGTATGTGTGTTGTAGCTTGAAGTTAGGGCCTCCAGCTCTTGCTCAAGCTTCACTGTTCACTGCTGGTACTCTTTACACTTCAACCCCATCTCTAATATGGTATTCTGTTGGTTAATTGGAGGTAGTTTTGATAGATTTTTCCTCCTCAACAGGCTTCCAACCAAGATCTTCTCAGCCTCTTGAATAGCTAGGATTACAAATGTAGGTCACCAACACCCAGTAACAGCAATATTTATTGTGACTATATTCTACCATGTTTCTACACATCATTTAACCAGTTCCCTAATGATAAACATTCAAATTGTTTCCAATTATGTTTAAAGGAAGAGAGTGGTTTGTCAATCAAATAATAATGTAAGTTCATAGTAAAAATCACTTATCTATGAATTTGCACTTCATCTGATACTAGATCAATAGCCTCCACTGAGTTACCATGTATGATATGTGATGAGATAAAAATCCAAAAGTCTTGTTTAAAGATGATCTTTCTGGGGCTGGGAAGGTGGCTCAGTGGTAGAGTGTTTGCCTTGCATGCATGAGGCCCTGGGTTCGATTCCTCAGCACCACATAAGCAGAAAAAGCCAGAAGTGGCACTGTGGTTCAAGTGGTAGAACACTTGCCTTGAGCTGAAGAGCTGAGGGACAGTGCTCAGGCCCAGAGTTCATGCCCCACTACCAATAACAACAACAACAAAAAAAACGATGATCTTTCTTGCTGGGTATAGTGCCTCATACCACGATGATCTGCACCATCATGTTCCAAGACCAGTCTGGGCCTATAGTCAGAAGAGCCCATCTCAATCTTTTTTTTTTTTTTTAATGGACATGGAATTACATACCTGTCATCCTAGTAACCCCAGGAAAGAAAAATAGGAAAATCATGGTCCAAGCCAGCCAGGGCATAAAGCATTTAATAAAGTAAAACTAAGATCTTATCTGAAAAATAAGTGAAGCATAAAAGGGATAATGTGCACTGATAAAACGGTTGATGTGCTTTTAGCAAATGTGTAAGGTTTTCATTTTTAATATTTACTTGAAAAGATGATCTCATACAATCAATAAAATGATGGGAATACATCATGCCAGCTAAATGCTGGCAAACTTATTTTTTTTAGATTAGGAAAGAAAGGAACTTTTTTTTTTGGCAATGCGAGGGTTTGAATTCAGCAGTCATACAGGACAATGGATTTTAGGCTTCAGCTTGTCATTTGTCTTGCCTGCCTCTTTTTCTTCCCTTTAACTGAAGTTCACTGATAAACAATTCAGCAGTGCAAATAAACAACTCACCTTGACTGGCAGCCAAAGGATTTAAGGGCCTTTTAATTGTCTGTGGCCTAAGAACAAAGACACTGGGTTATAATTTTAACTTCCCTAAGGCAGTCCTCAAGCTAACAATATAATCCAATTTGTAGACCAAGTAAAATAATTGGAATAAACTTCAATAGTATACAATCACAGCATCTCTTATAAAACCTAGCAGATGGATGATGGATTCACCTTCAAATACATTATGTGCAATTCTGTTAACAATACATACTTCTGTTCTGAAGTAAGTGAATCATAAATTTGTGGGCATTTGGAGAAATATTATTCAAAGTAATAACACAAACTGGGCACCAGTGACTCACACATGTAACTAGCTTCTCAGGAGGCTGCGATCTGAGGATCACCATTCAAAGCCAACTCCAGGAGGAAAGTCTGTGAAACTCTATCTACAATCAATCACCAATGAAGCCAGAAGTGGAGCTGTGGCTCAATTTGGTAGAGTGCTAGCCTTGAACAAAATAGCTCTTGGCCTACATAGTAGGCCAAGAGTACC